TCATTGTTGCTTCCTGTCTGCTATGTACTGGATAAAGGGAGTTCCCCAGCTCTAAGCAGTACTGAAAATTCTATGGCCTGTGGTGTAGATGAGGGTCTCCCAAAGTGCTGGGATTATAGGCATGAGCCACCACTCTCTGCCCTGGTAAGGTTTCTGTGAGGTCTGTTAGCTTAATAAAATTGAAATATTACTTTTTAGTCATATCTCAAACTTGGAACTATTGGAGAATTAAGCAGTAACATATTGTTTCTGCCGTTAGTGGTTTACAAATTTTGTTAGGGCAAATAAATCATATAAATATAATGCAACCAGAGAGGTAATCTACCTAGATACTCTTCAAATGTTTGAACTCTTGATTGTAAAGTTGCAAATAGGCTTCCATAATCTATCAATTATGGAAATTAGTTCCATCTGTATCTTCTCTTCTGTGAGAGCCTTTGAGCTTTCATATTCTCGGTGTCACATTTTGTTAATTTTCTTTTTAGCACACTTATTCTGTATTCCAGATTCTCAATTAACCATATAATATAGTTCAGGTAAAGAAATGATAGAACTGATTTTTATTTATTTATTTTGAGATAAGATCTTGCCCTGTTACCCAGGCTGGAGTGCAATGGCATGATCACAGCTCACTGCAGCCTTGACCTCCTGGGCTCAAGCCATCTTCCTGCCTCAACCTCCTAAATAGCTAGGACCACAGGCACATACCACCATGCCCAGCTGGTTTTTTAGTTTAGTTTTGTGTGTGTGTGTGGAGATAGGGTCTTGCCATGTTATCCAGGTTGGTCTCGAACTCCTGGGCTCAGGAAATCCTTGCACCTCGGCCTCCTAAATTGTTGGGATTACAGGCGTGAGCTACTGTGCCCTGCCATTTTGATGAAATATCCAAACGTCACATTAGTATTTAAAATTACTCAGTTTCTCTTTGCTTCTTTGGGTTTGTGGCACCCTGGCCACCTCCGTCTGGCTGTGATAGCCTCTATGCTGTGTGGGCTGGCACTTTGCT